GGGCCGGGGACAAACTGCAACCGAGGTACGTGCCCTTAGTGGGAACCGAACCCAGGTCTCTCGGGACCACAGGCGGACACTCTAACCACTGAGCCAAACCGGCCAGGGTTAACTGAGATTTTAAAAAATACTTGTCGGTAGAATGGATTTTGACATAAAAATTTAAAAATTCACTTTGAAACACGCTGAGTTTGGAATGTTTAAAACAGGATACTTTTGCTAAACTGAATAAAAATACTTTTGTGCTATGATTTGATGTGTTACTGGCATGTGCTATTATTTGATGTAAACATGCCTATAATCTCCAGGATAAAGATAATGGAGCAGTATTAAGATTAATTGGACATATAGTAAATGGTTTAATCGAGAGACAATAGGGAGATTCTTGTCCCATGGGAAAAAGTCAAACCCTAATGATCATATGTATATGACTTTGTATATTTGTATGTTTAGGGGATTAAACATACACCACGGGTTGAACTGTACATAAGGGGTTAATATAATGTGTTCTTCATCTGTATGGAAATGTGACCTTAGTTAACTTTATAGCCCCTTTCCTCTGGGACTGGTAACAGAATAGCTCTACTGCTGGGGAGCGCTGCTTTTAGTAAATGACAGGCACACTTTATGATGCATACCTATACTTTTTAACTATGATTTTTGTAACCTTTTTCTTCTGAAACAGAAAACCTTTTTCTTGATTTGATGGGTAGTGCAATATATTGATAAGCAGTTGTGGCTCTCCTGAGCACCAAAAGACCAAAGAGAATACAGTTCCACATAGAACAACATGGGTTTGAACTGCAGGAGTCCACTTAGGGGCAGATTATTTTCAATAAATATGCACTTGGCCCTGGACCCTGGTACCCCCAGGGTTTCGCATCTGCAGATTAAATCAACCTCAGATGGAAAACAGTACAGTTGATCTTCAAAATATGCTGGGTTAAGGGTACAAACCTGCATGTGGTCAAAAATTCACATATAAGTCCCCTAAAAGTTAGTTATTTCTAGATATCCACAAAGGATTGGTTCCAGGACCCAAATCCACAGGTGCTCAAATCCCCTACATAAACTAGCTTAGATCAGTGCACACAGTCAGCCCCCTGCACCCACAGACTTCCAACCGCAGATGGAAACAGTACAGGTATCAGCAGACCTGCACAATTCAAACCTGTATTATTCGAGGGACAGTGTAATTCCTGACTCATCCCTCTGTATGAATTGCTGCACAGTGAGGAAATATCTGATGAGATCACAGAGCAAACACTCTGAAGAAATTATTGTTAGCTTGAAGTTCATGAACAAATTGTAAGAGTACACATATGCTTGCTAGTTGATATAGCTCAGGTAAAACTTTTCAAAAGCATACTCTTCCCCACCTGGTTCCCCCTCCCCGCCCTTACTCCTTACCCTGACCTAACTTGTCTGAAGATATTTAGAGAAAGTATAATATACTGCGGGGAGGATAAAAGAAACATCTAAGGGGAACCTCAGCATTGTTCAAAATCCAAATTCTCTTTAACCTACTTTTAAGTTTTGTTGTCACCTAAATCATATTTCGAAAAGAACTTTGGAATTGAGAAAATGTCCTACATCATTGTCTGAAAAATCTTTGGTTACCCCAAAGTCATGAACAGACGGTGTTGCTTTTGTACTTTATTTCCCAGTTGTCTTTGGCTAACATGTAGAACACAATTGATTTTTGTGATTGATCTTGATCCACGACCTTGCTACATGTTCTTATCAATTCTACTAATTTTAACAATAGATTCCTTACTTAGGATTTTCTTTACTTAATCATGCAGTCATATTGCCGGAAAATTTAGCAGTATTATTTTTTCCTTTGAAAAAAATTTTTTGTCTTTCCTATTTCTTAGCTTACTACACTAGCTAGGATCTGCTGTACAGTGTTCAATATAAATAGCAGAAGAAAACACCCTTTCCTTGTTTGATCCTAGGGCAGGACTTCTCAAGCTTAGCTCTATTGAAATTTAGGGCAAGATAATTCTTTGTTGTGGAGGCTCTCCTGTGCACTATAGCATGTTTATCTGCATCCCTGGTGTCTCACACTCTAGAGCAGTGGTTCTCAACCTTCCTAATGCTGCGACCCTTTAATACAGTTCCTCATGTTGTGGTGACCCCCAGCCATAAAATTATTTTTGTTGCTACCTTATAACTGTAATTTTGCTACTGTTATGTGTTAGGCGACCCCTGTGAAAGGGTCATTCAACCCCCAAAGGGGTCGCGACCCACAGGTTGATAACCGCTGCTCTAGAGGCTAACAGCACCCTAGAGGCTAACAGCGCCATGTTTGGTGGCAACCAAACATGTCCCCAGACATCATCAAATATCCCTTGGAGGACAAAATCACCCCCAATTGAGAACCACTGTTAGGAAGAAAATGTTCAATATATCACCAGTCAGCATGATTAACTATAAACTATACAAATTCTGTTTTCAAAATTCTGCTACAAAAAATTTCAAGCATAAAGACTATTAAATTGAATACTGGTATACCCACCCCATTCTACCATAAATATTTTACTATGTTTGGCCTGGTGCATATCTATCCAGTTATCACTGTTTCTATTCATTCATCACTCTATCTTAAACACATTTCAAAATAAGTTACAGACACCAGTACTTTCCCCTAAATATTTCAGTATGCATGTCATTACCTAAACTTCAATATTTATATATTATTCACAGATTTTTTTCTTTTCAGGCAACATTTACATAAATGAAATGCAGAAATGTTAAGCAAACATTCAGAGTTTTGACAGATGCATACATCTTTCCTGAAGTGTCTGTTCAAGTCTATGCCTATTAAAAAATCGGTTGTTTGTCTTTTTAACTAGCGAGTTCCTTATATATCCTGAATTGCAGTATTTTGTCAACTATGTGCTTTACAAATATATATATTTTTTCTGATCTGTGGTTTGCTTATTTGGTTTCTTAATGATCTCTTTGAATACACAGCAGTTTTAAATTTTGTTGAAGTCTAATTTATTATTTATTTTCTTTTATTAGCATTGCTTTCTGTTTCTAAGAAATCAATGCCCATTCCCAACTCAAAGCTTTTCTCCTGTTTTCCTCTGAAGGCCTGGTTGTTTTAGGTTTTATAATTAGCTTTACGATCCATTTTGGATAAATCTTTGTGTATCCTGTGTGGTGGTCAGCTTTTTTTTCCCACATAGATATCCAGTTGTTCTGGTACCAACTGTTTAGTTTCCTTCACCCATAGATTGCTTTGGCACTGCTCATTCTAAAGTCAATTCTGTTCTCTTTTTTTGTAAGATTACTTTAGATATTCTAGATTTCTTTATATTTTCATATACATTTTATAATTAGTTTATCAATTTCTACCTGAAAAGCCTACTGGCATTATGATAGGGATTGCACTGAATGTGTAGATCTATTTGTGGAGAACTGACACCTCGCTAAGTCTCTCCCATCCGTCTCTTGCTACCCAGAAATACTGTGTTTCTATACATTTAGTTATTCTTTAATTTCTACCAAAAATATCTTGTAGTTTTTAGCATACATGTTCTGCTTACATTTTGTTAAACATATTTATGTGTGTTTTGTTTCTTTATGCTATAGCAAATGGCAATTAAAATTTGATTTTCCAATTGTTTGCTGCTAATAAAAAATATAATTGATTTTTATGTAGTAATCTTGTATGTCATAACCTTTCAAATTATCTTATTATTTTAGTAGTTGGAGATAACTTAGGCTTTTCTATATCAATAATGATATAATTGGCAAATACAGACCATTTTATTTCTTCTTTTCTAATCTTTATGCCTTTTCTTTTTTTTTTTTCTTGGCTTTGGCACAGATATATGGTAAAATATTGAATTTTATAAAAATTTATAAGTGGGTATTGAATTTTGTCAAATGTCTTCTTTATATCTATTTTAAAAATTGTTTAGCCCTGGCTGGTGTTGCTCAGTGGTTAGTGTCAGCCTATGCACCAAAGGATCTCAGGTTCGATTCCTGGTCAAGGACATGCACCTGGGTTGCAGGTCTGATCCCCAGCCCTGTTGGGGGTGAGTGTGTGAGGCAACCAACTGATGTGTCTCTCTCACATTGATGTTTCTCCCTCTCTCTCCCTCCTCCCTCCCTTCCACTCCCTCTAAAAAAAATAAATAAAATGGGAAAATTATTCTTGGGTGAGGATTAACAAAAATAAATAAACAAATAAACAAATAAAAATTTTAAAAAATGTTTAAAGCTCCTGGTTCAGACTGACAAACCTCAGAGGAGGGGGGTATGGAGGAGGAAAGAGATAAACCATAGAACGTATATGCGTATATCCATAACCAGTGGCCATAAACAACAATACTGTACAGGGGGCTGGGGGCAGCAGGAGTAGGGTGTCAATGGAGGAAAAAGGAGAAATATCTGTAACAAAAACAAATAACTAAGTAAATAAAAATATAAATAAAGCTCCTATTAAAAGCTTGTCCGAAGCACCAACTCAAACAAATTTAGGAAATAGTGTTTGCTTATCTCCTACCCACAGCCATCCACCATGACCACAGTGCCACGTGGCTTCTGCACAAAACCACCATCTGCCTGGTAAACGTCAGAGATTTAGAGGGCTCAGGCATAAACCTTCTGTTCTTTCATCAGCACTACGATGGACTTCGTTAAATATAAGAACTCTCGTAACAGTGCTTTTATTTTTTTATGAATAAAATGCAACATACATATTATACTGAACAATGAAAACTGATGGGGCAAAAGAACCATTATTAACTTTTAAGATGGAAGACGACATAAAACATTGGCATTCCTTGTGACATTATGATTTTTCAATCAAATCACAGTTTTAGAAAACAGTTGAAAAGTGCCCAAAAGAAAACATGTTATTTTTAAATTAAGGTGTGTGTGTAAAACTATTGAAAATGCTTGAAAAAAACATTTTAATCCATGTCATATTTTTTTATATATATAAGTGACACATTTATGAAAAAGAATTGAAAATGCCTGTCAGAAACTATTCAATCCCATAATATACAGTCTTTTCAGACATGTGATATATTTGTGAAAAGCAGTGGAAATATGTTTGATAGAAAGAAAGGTCATGTTAATCTCATCTTACTTTTCAGTCACATGCAATAGAGGAAAAGCAGTTGAAAAATGCCTGCAAAGAGAAATGAGTATCAATCCCTACACTTGAAAACCTGCATCTCAACATGGTGAAACATACAAGACAATGACTAAAAGACACACAATCTCTCAGAGTATAGCACAGATCAGTTAGAATATTTTTGGCTTTAAAGCTTTTGTTAAAAATATTTTACATCATTAAATGTATATTAAGTGTACCCTGAAAGCTAACTGAAATGACAAAAAGATACAGGGATAATTTGTAACAAAAATTGTTAAAGTCCATTAATTGTTTTCCCAAGAAAGGCAAGTGAGGTAGTTTACACTGTGTATACATTATAAAGAATATTCCAGTTTGTTTGAAGATCATTCACTCCAAGAATTATATCCCCAAGTGAGCTGCTTAACAAAGGGATTCTCTTTTGCAGAAAAAAGGAGAAAATGAGCCAGTGCTAGTTTTTTTTTAATGAATAAGTGTTCCTAAATGTTAATTTTCTCTAGTACTTTCCTGGATATTATTTTCCTAACTGTACACCAAGGGCACATGGGACAAAGTGGGGTGGGAATCTATTAAAAACAGAATTTAGAAGCCCAGTATCTGACTGCTTTTGTTCACAAATATGCTATTCATTTTTACAGATGACCATAACTACTTTTAAATAACTCTTGATAAGACAAAGATAGTTTTTCAATACTTAGGTGGCAGGCATTTTTGAATTTTAATTGAAAGATTTTGTATATTCTTTAAGGATAAAATTAGTAAAAATAACCTCTTTATCCACATAAAAATTAGTCTGTGTGTCTAGTGAAAATTCTTCTCTAACCAGTTAGTTAACCCTATGACTAAGAATAAAAATTACCATTGGATAATGATATTGGTATTGATGTGGCCTTCCATATATACAGTTACCTGAAAGTTGTCACACATCCTTGAACACATTAAAGTGATTAATTTAAAGTCATTGCTTTATTGAAGTCTTTGATCTATGAAAACACACAAAAGTGGCTAAAAAAACTCAGAAATTTATTGTTTTAATCTGTCATCTGTTAGCTATTTGTTTAAAACTGATGACAAGTGAGGTAAACCCTGAAATCTCTAGAACCTATATATGGGTTCTAATGTGTCTTCAGTCAAAAGAAATGAAAATCCCTAAATAAAAAATTAAATGAATAGGTTCATGAATTTTCTATATAAACGTGACAGAATTTATTCTAAATGATAAGAAACACAATGAGCTAAATCAACCATTGTTTTCATATATACATAGAAGTGAAAGGTAGCTAACTTGAAGACTTCCATGTCGGTAGGCATATATTACTGCCATCTTATGTCTTGGAACCTAGCAACTACAAAAAGTGAAATGTTTACTTCTGTTTGAATTGCAAAAATCGTAAAATCGTATTTTTCAGACTCATGAAATTCATTATGTAAACTCACATGCCATCAATTACCCATATCTTGAAAACTAATGAAATGTAAGTATAAACTTACAAACCATGTTTATTTTCTAATGGGTCTTCAGGAAAAGGAAATGAAAATTCTCAAATGAACAAACAAAAAAATGAATAGATATTTGACTTTTCTATATAAATATAACAAAATCTTAATGACCAGAAATGGAATTATCTACATGTTGAACATAAGTAATATTTTTATAGACATCAAGGCATAATGTAGCATATAAAATTTTTCTTTTGTATTTGGGCTTAAATTATCACATTATGTTTTGAGACTTGGTAAGCAGATATGTTTTCTGCAATTGTGAGCAACTCTGACTCTTGTTTGAACTGCAAGAGCCATTTGAGTGTTAAATCTCATTAAGATTGATATGATGTCATCAAAATAACAATCTGTGAATTCTAATCCAAAGTGGAATAAATGAGATCTCTGTCCCATTTCTAGCTAATTCTACAAGGATGGACTATATCTGCATTCTCAAGATGAAAGGCAGAGATGTTAGATCCTTCAGCATATTTTAGATTTGCTCTCAATCAGAATCACAGAGACTGTATGTTCTTATCAATCACAGGTCTGGAAAATGGTTCCACAGGATCTTGATAGGGAGACAGTTTTCTGCTTACAAGATATGCAGCTGATTTTAAAGCCTGATGCTAATCCACAGTGGTTGGCCAGGACTATGATTGATGAACAGAAACAAAACCTGCTTTTGCAGCATATAAAATCTGAATGTAACAGTATTTTCAGCACTCTTGGATGAAGGCAGTTCTGTATTTTGAAACTGGGGCTGCAGAAGTGACTATGTACAGTTGTCAAGTATAAAAAATGATGTGTTTCATCAGAAAAGGAAATCAATGTCTGGCACATGGAAAGCTATTCATTGAGTGTCATAATTATGATGAAAAAAACAGAGGCTCTGTGACTTTTGACTACACAGAAGGTTATGAAAACATGAGAATACCTTTTGTCAAACTAAGCTTGCCTAGGGGTCCCTGTACACATAAGGGAATAAGCTTTAAAAATATCAATTTTCAACAATTCAAGAAAAGGAAATGTTCATTTGCACCAGAATGCTGATTGTCATGATATAGTATAACATATATAACAACACAGTGTCTTTAAACAGAAGTTCCTCCTCCTTCTATTCAGGAGGAAGTCAGAGCATAAATATTGTATGTATAACTTTAGAAACTGACTTGGTTGGAAAGTAGATCTGCATTATTTTGCAGAGTGGAAATTACTGCTATTTCTGGCATTCTTGCTCAAAATGATCAATATATGTATATAAAGTAAGTATAAAAAAGTCTTTTTCCACCTCTTGTGTTGGGAGCATTTGCTACATAAAGAAGTGTTTCTTATCTATAGGACCAAGTTCATTTCTGCTGTGAAGTCAAAGTACTAGAAATAATTAGAGTTCCTATTCTAGATTGGTCTTTCTTCAGGAAGGATCACAACCTCTTTCCTTTATTCTTACCAAGGAACCATCATGAGAACGCTTTAGTTCAAATGGTTAACCATATCCTCTTCCATAGCTCATGTTGACAATGTGAGGAGACACCACTTGGGCTGAGAAGCACCAAGGGGGTTATAGAAACAAACATGTCAAAATTAGGCTTTTCTCCCCCCCTACGTAATGTAGAATTTTCTTGGCATATAATACATAATGGCTGCCATCTTGAGGGTCTTTCAAAAACTTGATTGTGGTTTAATCACCCATTCTGCTTGAGGATTTACATGATATATATCCAATATATAAGCATCTGGATCCAAGCAATGCTGTCCTAAAAGAAAAAGAAAATCAGAGTATGTTTTTAAGAGTGAACACTTCCATGTGTCTATGCGCAGGTATGAGTATATTTGTAAGATTTGTATAAGACCAATATAGTTCTCTTTGCCAAAAGTAAGTAGAGTAAGTGCTTTCCTTATTTTTATAGAGTACTGTAGCTATTAAACCCTTCCATACCTTTACTGATCACTGGACAAGCAATAAACAATTCAAATATATAATGAGAAAAAAATTTAGATGGTGAATATCATAGTGTACTTATACAAATCTAGATGGTATGGCTTACCACTATAATTATGTGTGCTATATTTTTATACAACTGGCAGCACAGTAGGTTTGTTTACACCAGCATCACCACAAATATTTGAATAATGTGTTGTGCTATATCATGACAGCTACAATGTCACTAGGCAATAGAATTTTGTTGCTCCATTATAATCTTATGGGATCACTGTCATATATGTGGTCCATGGTTGACCAAAAGCATGACTGTAGATACATTTTAAAGATTCTTAGCAAAGCATGCCTGTTTCCTTCCCTCCTTTGTTTCTTTCTGACTGTTAAGTACTTCAAATAAATCCCATGTGAAATTACAGACATACCAACCTCAGGCAAATTATTTGTTCTCTAGACTCACCACATCTATTAGAAAAAATATGGCAAGGACTTGTTTCAGGTATAAACTGATCATTTATATTGTAATATATATCCTCTAATGGTTTTACAGAGAGTAACTTGACCACAACTAGAGAAGATTAAAAGCAAGTTCATTTTAGTTTATTTACCATGGATGCAATGCCCATAGGCAGGAGATCTGGAAATAACACAAAAAGATCATTCCATGCCCTGGCCAGTGTGGTTCAGTTGATGGAGCATTGTCCCATGCACCAAAAGTTGCTGATTCCCAGCCAGGGCACATGCCCGGGTTGCAGGCTCAATCCCCAGTAGGGGGAGTGCAGGAGGCAGTTAATAGATGTTTCTCTCCCTCTCCTTCTCTCTAAAATAAATCAAAACATATTAAAAACAAAAGATCACTCCATGTGGCACATTTGAAAATCTTTATATACAATGTGTTTGAAATGTATATTAAAGTCTCAAACAAAACTACCAAGATCTGAGTGCTTGCCTGATTGATTCATTTATCAAATATTTATTGAGAATTATGATGTTCCAGGAACTACTCTAGGGTCTGGGGTTACAGCAATGCATCAGACAGTAAAAAACACTTGCCCTTTGGGTGCTTACATTCTAAAAGTGGTAAAGGCAACTAGAAAATAAGCAAATTTAATATAAAGCGAGTATGACAGTATAAGAACACTAGAGAACAACAAAGCAGGGAAGGAAAACAGAGAGCACATAATCTAGGAAGGTCTGATGGAGAAGATGATATTCATTAAAGACCTGAATGAGGCAAGGGGGTGAGAATGAACAATCTGAGAGTGGTCAGAGCTAAAGTTAGCAAATGCAAAGACCCAAGGCAGAGTGTGCCCAGTGATTGAATACTCAGTGTTCGTGTTTGAGGGAAAGTCTGGATATAAATGTGAGTGGTATCAGCATAATGGTGTATTCAAAGCAATGAGGTGAATTAAGCTCCTCGAGGAAGTTAAGTGTAGATAGAGAAGGGTTGGAAGGACTGAACCCTACAGCTCTCCAATATTAAGAGGATGAGAAGTAACAGGCAGAAGAGACTCATAAGGAGTAGCCAGTGTAGTGGGAGGAAAGCCAGAAGCTTAGAATTTTCCTTGAGACCAGGTGAAGAAAGTGTTTTTCAAAGAAGGAAAAGATCAACTCAGGTAGTTATAAAGACATACTGAATTGCTGGATTTCACAACATAAGGGTTCTCTGGTGACCTAGACAAGAGAGCAATTTCGACGAAGTATTGAAAGGTAAAGCTTGACTGGAGTGGTTTGAAGAGAGAACAAGAGGAAATCACAGCATAGACAACTGATTCGAGGAGTTTTTGCTGTAAAGCAGAACAAAAGTGGAGTTGACTAGAAAGGGGTCAAGGGAGAATTTTGTAAGGATGAGAGACAGTACCAGAATTTGTATGCAGGCAGAAATGATGCACTTGGAAGAAAAAGCTGATGATACAAGAGAGAATGGGAGAATAGCTGGATCAATGTTCTTACTGGGCAGGGGCGGCATGAAGTGGAAATGAGAGGAGGTGCTCATCCTAAATGGAGCACAGCTACTTCCTCTGGACTGTGAGAAAGGCAAGCAGAAGATATGGGAACAGAAGAAAGTAGAGAGAATTGTCTTTGGATTCCTTTTCTCCCCCTCAGAGAAATAGGAAGGGTGACCTTGGGCTCCGAGTGAAAATAGGTAAGTTAAACAAAAAGGATGTCATGATTTTGAAAATTCCATGATGTTCTTTTCTTTGTTTTTGAAGAATCTCTAGAAAGAGATTTTCCAACTTTTAGTCACATTTAGAACTCCCAAAAGCCTAGCCCATATCAACTAAAATATTTAACTTTTGAAAACATTTTTAGGAAAAGTCATATTGTTCTTACACGAGATTAAAAAAATTAGAAACTTACTGATTTATATATAAGAAACTTATAAAATACACTTTTATAATAATAGCATCTTATTTCTTTTAGAGTAATCAGGGAATTTAGGAGTAAAAATTGTTAAAGAATCCTTACCTATATTTCCTCCAATTTCATATAACCTTTGGTTCTGAATTTTAATGCACTCTGAAGAACCATGACTGAAAAAAGGAGAAAGCAATATAATTTAACCCTTTCATAATCTGAGGTGAATCTGTAGATTAAATAACCATGGCAACAAACAATCCTGCCTTGAGAAAAATACACCCCACAAGACATCATTATGATGGAAGTTATGATCAAAACAATTTTTTTTGTTTGACACAGACAAGCATCTGAGGCACAGAGAGGCTGGGACTTTTCCAAACCAAGACTGATGCTGCGATGCTTCCACAGCAACCCGAGCCCGTTTAGCCACAACTGTCAACTCCTTTTAGAGGTAACTGCTGCTGACCATGTCACAGCTGGCCAAGGAGCAGCTGGATGCTTCCCACTGCCTTGTCATTGGCCACATCACTCTCGCTTCAGAAGTCAGGTTTCATTCCCATATTTAGCAAAATTGAATGAGATTCTCTCCTCAGCCCCTGTCATATTTCTAAGCTTGACTAATTAATGCTTTACTAACTATCTAACACTGGTTTCATTGCATGTCCTTGCCCTATAATAAAAGCAAGTCAGATAAAATGATTGCCCAATTTAATTTTTCTACCCCAGACTAGAATGCTGGGGTGGAAGCATCTGGAAAGACCATTTCTAATCTCTATCCTGCTTCAGGAACAACTTCCAGCTTGCTTTCTTAAAAAAGATTGTTCTCACTCTCTATCATGAGGAAAAATTGTGCATTCTCCTTTGTTTAATTAAACCTTTAAAAATAATTGTAAATTTACATGTATTTGTAAGAAATAATACAGACAGATTCAGTGTCCTCTTCACCCAGTTTCCTCTAATAGAAACGTCTTGAAAGATTAGTGCACTATCACAACCAGAATGCTTAATGATTCAGTCAAGATATACAACATTTCCATCACGAGATCCCTCCTCTCTCCGTTATATCATCCCCCTTCCCTGTCCCTATCCATACTCTCATCCTTTATTCCTCTATTCTACATTTCTATTCACTTGTCATTTCAAAATGTTATGTAAATGAAAACATACAGTATGGAACACTTTGTATTGACTTTTTTTTTTTTTTTTTAAATCCCTGGATATTCACCCAAGTTGCTGAATTTTTATTGCTGAGTAGCATAGCATACCATGGTGTGGATGTACTGTAGCTTGCTTAGTTATTTACCTGTTGAAGAACACCTGCGTTTTTTCTACTTTTTGATTATTATAACTAAAGCTGCTATAAGCATTTGTACACAGAGCATTTTGTGGAAACACAGTCTCAATTTCTTTGGGATAAATGCCCAGGAGTGTGAACGATGGGTTCACAGGGTAACTGCATATTTAGTTTTATAAGAAACTATCAAACTGTCCTGACCAGTTTGGCTCAGCAGTTAGAGCGTGGGCCTGTGGACCAGAGTCACGGGTTTGATTCTGGTCAAGGGCACGTACCTCAGTGGCAGTTCACCCCTGGCCCTGGTCAGAGCCATGGGGGAGGCAGCCAGGCGATGTGTCGTTTTCACATCAAGTTCCTCTCTCTCTCTCCCCCCACTTTATCTGAGATAAATGGGAAAATATCCTCAGGTGAGGATAAAAATAAAAATTAAAAAAAAAGAAACTATCAAACTGTTTTACAGAGTATCATTTTACATTCCCATCAGCGATGTATGAGTAATCAAGTTTCTCTATGTTTTTGCCATAATTAGTGTTGTTTCTATTTTTTAAGTTTAGCCATTCTCATAGGTGTCTAATGATTAATGATATTGAACATTTTTCATCTGTATATCCTTTTTGGTGAAATTTCTGTTCATGTCTTTTGCTCATTTTCAAAGTGGATTGTTTCTTCTTGGTGTTTTGTTTGTTTGTTTGTTTGTTTTTACTGTTGAGTTTTGAGTGTTCTTTATATAGTCTAGATACCAGACCTTTGTTGACTATGTGGTTTATAAATATTCTCTTCAAATCTTTTTTAAAAATACATTCTTAAATTGATCTTTTTAGAGAGAGAGGAAGAGAGAGAGGGAGAGGGAGAGGGAGAGAGAGACATCGATCGGCTGCCTACTGCATGCCCTGCACTGCGGATCTGGCTGGCAACCCAGGCATGTGCCCCGACCAGGAACTGAACCGGTGACCTCTAGGTGCACAGGACGAAGCACAACGGACTGAGCCACACTGGCCAGGGTGAAGCCTTTAGCTTGTCTTTTCATCGTTTTTACAGGGTCTTTCAGTGTATACTTCAGTTTATAAATTTTTCTCTCTTATGGATCATGCTTTCAATGTTAAGTCTAAGAATTCTTCACTAGCTTTATTTCACAAAAGTTTTGTTGTAAGTAATTTTCTAAAGTTTTATGTTTCACATTTAATTCTGTTATCCATTTGGGGTTAATTTCTGTATACAATATGAGGTTTAGATCAAGGATCATTTATTTTTTTGGCTCATGGATGTCCAAAATTTTCTTCCTGCAAAGGGTCTACATGAGCATACAGAGACAACTTTGTAAGCAGAAATCTATCGGATGCCCAAATCCCTTGAAGAGAATTTCAAGTCCTTCTATTACTGCCCAGGGGTAACTATTTATAGTATTTTAGGGGTCAGGGCCAGCAACAGAAAGGAGTAAATGTTTTGGGTTCCTGTTGGCCTGTCTACTCTTGTTTTTTGTAAGCTCATATATATATGAGCCTACAAAGTGTAACATAAAGTATATACATCACATTTCACCCTCACAGAAAACCACCATCCTGACTTCTAACAGCATAGATTACCTATATTGGCTATTCCTGTCTTCCTTTCCATTGAAATTTTTACTGAGATAATTGTAGATTCGCATATATTATAAGAAATAATACAGATTATTCTTTGCTGAGTTCTCCCCAGTGGTAAGATTTTACAAAACTATGGTAAAATGTCACAGTCAGGATATTGGCATTGATACAATCCACTCATCTTATTGAGATTTACCAATTTAACTGTACTTCTTTGTGTGTGTATTAAGTTCAATATAATTATTTAGAGGTTTTTTTTTTTGTTTGTTTTTTTTTATCAACCACCAGAGTCAAGATACCAGTTTCAATACCACAAAGGTATTGAACTTCATGTTGTCCTTTTATAACCACACACATCTCCACCCTCCCCCTCCAATCATCTCTCCCTAACTAACCTCTGGTATCCACTAATCTATCTCCATTGCTAAAATTTTGTAATTTCAAAATATTATATAAATGGAGTCTTGCAGTATGTAATTTTTTTGCAACTGGCTTTTTTTTGCTCAACATGGATACTCCTTTAAAAAAAATTTTTTTTTATTTATTAATTTTTAGAGACAGATGAAGGGAGAGGGAAAGAGAAACAGAAACATCAATGAAAGAGAACATCAATTGATGGCCTCCTGCATGCCCCTCACTGGGGATCGGGCCCTCAAACTGGGCATGTGCCCTGACGGGGATGGAACCAGCAACCTCTTGGTGCATGGGTCAACGCTCAACCACTGAGCCACACTGGCCAGGCTGGATACTCCTTTTTAATATGATTTTAATTCTTCTTTTTAAGGATACCATCAGAGTTTAACTAGAGACCACCAAACTTTACCTGCTGTCTAATGGGCAGGTTTAAAATAGTGATTCTATCTTTTAAAAATCTCAGGGTAAATGTTTATAAGCATGCCTAGACAAAAATGATTATTTATGCTCTTTTAAGGCAATTTATGGCTGATATACAAAAATATTTTTTTGGTAAATATCATTCCAATCTCAAGGTTTATTGTAAGCATATTTTAAGAAAAGCAACAGCTATGATGTTCACTTAACTATATAAACTTTATCTGATATTAGCATATTAAAGCCCATTGGAGCTTGAAATAATGATATTCCTGGAACTCTATCAAGAGATCTATAAAACTAACTTGCTATAATTTTTTTCTAATAAAAAGTAAAACTCAATGAGTAAATGAAGATACCAAGATAGAACAGGTTTCCTGTTAAGAATCCCATTTGTAATCTTACACAAAAATTAACTTAAAGTCATTTAAGACCTGAAGGTAAGACCTACAACTATAAAACCCCTAGAAAAAAATGTAGGCAGTAAGGTCTTTGACATTGGTCTTGGTAATTATTTTTTTTAACTCTGGTACCAAAAGCAAAGGCAACAAATGCAAAAATAAGCAAATGGACTATGTCAAGCTAAAAAGATTCTGCAGAGCAAAGGAAACCATCAAAAAGCAAAAGATAACCCATGGAATGGAAGATAATATTTGCAAACCATATATCTGATAAGGGGTTAATATCCCAAATATATTAAGAACTCATACAACTAAATAGCAAAAAAAGCAATGTGACTAAAAATGAGCAGAATATCTAAACAGACATTTTTCCAAAGACATGCAAATAGCCAAGAGGTACATAAAATGATGCTCAACATCACTAATTATCAGGGAAATGCACATCACAACCACAATGAGATATACCCTTAGACCTATTAGAATGGCTATTATCAAAAAGACAAAAAAAATTAAAATAACAAATGTTGTCAATGCTGTGAAGAAAGGGAACCTTTTTGCACTGCTGATGGGAATGTAAAATGGTGAAGTTACTATTAAAAAACAGTATGGAAGTGCCTAAGAAAAAGACATATGTACTGCCACGTTCATTTCAGCATATTTACAATAGCCAAGATACGGAAACAACCTAAAAGTCCATTGATGGATAAATGGAATAAGAAAAAGTGTCTATTGATTAATGGAGATATATATATTATTTATATGAATATTGTTATATGATTATTATTCAACCATCATAAATCATACCTTGTCATTTGCAATAATAACATGGATGGAGCTTAAGGGCATTATGCTAAGTGAAATAAAGCATACAGAGAAAGACAAATAATCTCACTTAAATGTGGAATATAACAAAACAAAACAACAAAAACTAAAAGCAGTCTCACAGATACAGAGAAAAGATTGATGGTTGCCAAAGTAAGAGGGTGGGGTGGGAAAAATGGGTGAAGGGGATTTAAAGATGCAAACTTCCAGTTATAAAATAAATAAGTCATGGTGATGTGATGTACAGCATGATGACTACAGTTTATACTGTATGGCATATTTGAAAGTTGCTAAGACAGTAGACCTTTTTTTTTTTTTTTTTTTTGGTGGTACGTGCCCCTAGCAGGAACCGAACCCGGGATTCTCTAGTCTGCAGGCCAACGCTCAATTGCTGAGCCAAACTGGCCAGGGCAAGGCAGTAGACCTTAAAAGTTCTCATTGCAAGAAAAATATGTAACTATATATATATATATGGTGACAAATGTTAACTAGAGTTACTGTGGTGATTATTCTGCAGTATATACAAATATCAAGTTATTATGTTATATACCAGAAATGAATATATGTCAATTATACCTCAATAAAACAATAAAAGAAAAAAAAACAAAGAATCCCACTTGTAGAAATTCCTTAAAATATAAAACAAAATTTCTGTTACCCACAACAATTTTGTGGTCTACTAATATCTTACTCTACTTTTGACTTTTCATTTACTGGTTTTAATTTTTCAAAAGGGCCAAATTTGTCAATTCCTGGAAAGTTACTCATCTGGTAAAAGTTCATCATCTTTGTACAAAGACCTTTATTGCTTTTACTCACCTGTTCTCATATTGAAATTTGGCTAGTATGTCTTTGGCTTTGGTTTGACTATTGAGCTGAATGGCCATGGAAACCTTCGAGAGACGTGGAGCATGGACCCTTATGACTCCTTCGGGCACATCAGACTGCCAATGAGGAAAAATTCAGTACATTCTGTCAAACTAGGATGAATATCAATCAGTTCAATGATTGTACTTAAGACATAAAAATCAGTGACTTAGGAAAACAAGTAAACATGACTAGTGTTTAATTAGAATGAAACACTGCTTTCTTTTTATCAGGAGATTCAACAAAACTTAATCTGGGATTTTACTGTCACTATATTAGGTCTTATGAAATGCCTTAAAAATCATGAGAGGAGTAGAACTGGATTATGACAAAAAGACACTAATGTTTCTATTACTTCATTTCCTTGAACAATGTTCTAAAGAAAAGTTCTATGTTTTAATATACTTTAATATCAACCTGAAAAATTCAAGGATCAATAAGAAAATATGACTTTTTAAATATCCCTTTTTTAAGTCAGCCCAAAGTTAATTCCAGATGGATACCTGAGACTTGAGCCTTCAAAGTGTGTTAAGAACACTGTGAAGAGCAGAGCAGGGACGCAGCTGGGGAAGAGAATGTCTCTGCTTTCATACAACATGACTGGCGTGGGACTTTGGAGCTCCCATCTAAACAAAACACTAAAAAAATGTTGCTCTCTAATTAATATAAATTTCTGTTTTGTCAGTATTGACTGGAAAATTTTTTGCTTCAAAATTTTGAGTGTTTGAAGATTAATTTTCTAACTAGAGATGAACAGAAATAAATTTCCATATGTTTGAGGGTCTGGCTACTTCTCAGGTAATTATTTTAAACCTGTATATTCTCAAAAGGTGGTATTGTTGATGTAGGTTTATGTGAACTGACTTAATATTTACCCTAGAAGGAATGTGATATGTGCTGTTTGAGTCTCCCGTAAAGATATGTTGAAGTCCTAACCCCCAATACCTGAGAATATGACCTTATTTTGAAATAGGGCCATTCAGATATAATTAGCTAAGATGAGCTCATACTGTAGTAGGGGAGGCTCTTAATCCAAATGACGAGTGTCCTTATAAGAGAAGAGACACAGACACAGACACAGACACAAGGTGATTGCTGTATAAATATGGAGGCTCAGATTGGAAGGCACTGACAAGCTAAGAATATCAAATATTGTTGGCATTACCAAAATCTAGAAATGAAGTAAAAAACAGGTCCTTCTTTCATGGCCCTCAGAAGAAACCAACCAAACCAACTTCTTGATTTTGGACTTTTATCCTCTAGAAACTATGAGAAAATTAATTTCTATTGCTTTAAGCCATCCAATTTGTGGTACTTTGTTATGGTGACACTAGAAAATGAATACAAAGTATTTTAAAATAGTGTCAGTTCTTATAGGTCTAGTCTACTATTGCCAGCAAGCATCAGGAGAGCATGGCAGGAAATGCATATAAGGGATTTAGACTTGGTATGGGGCAGAGTGCCCCTGGCCCATTGCACCCCAGATGGTATTCTTAAAATACCCTTGATATCTCACATCCCTCGCTTTTCAGCGCCCCAGAAGCCTCAGTAACATAAATTCCATACCCCTGACATTACTGGACCTGTGATCATAATAATCACATTTTCCTTAGAACTTCCTATAGTATTCACACTTGTGCAAAGATGCCTAACCACACATTTGGAGTTATCAGTTAGTTGTGCCACACTGAAAATGTTGTTTGAAGGCTATATCATGACCAATATTATACACAGATATTCTGGATCTAGGCTAGGAAATACTATGTAGAACGTTAATAATTAGGGAAGAAAGGATATTATTTGTTTTCTTACCATTCTTCTTAAAGAGGGTGATTTTTGTAGTACCTTTGAAGTCTTGGGGCTTATAACCTAAATAAAACACATTTAGTTTTTACAATTAATGTTGGCAAGACAAGCACATGCTGTTGCTAGAAGTATAAACTGGTATAATCTTTATGAAAAACATTTTGGAATATATACCAAATTATAAAATGCATATGTATTTTGATCCAACAATTCCAAACCTACGAATTTATCCTACAAATATGCTTCATTTGTGAGAAATGACATATAACAAATTAATTCACTGATGCAAAAATCTTAAGAGCAAGAGATTAGACACCATCTAACTGCTCAATAATATGGGATGGCTTAAATAAATGATGATGTGTCTGGAATACCATGCAAAAGAAGCAGAAAAGAAGGCTTTGTGTACTGATGAGGAATAATCACCACGATTTCTTAAGTCAGTAAAGCAAGATGCAGGACAGTGTTTTATGTGTGTTAGTCATTCATGTAAAAAAAGTAGGGGAAGGACTTTTACTCATATTTGCTTGTATGTGCACAATGCTTCTCTGGAAGTATATACACCTGCAAGTTCCTGTGTACATATAACCTGTCATTGGTAACATTGTTTTTCTCTGGTGGAAAGCCAAGGTGGCCAATTTTTACTCTGTTGTCTTTCTTACCTTTTGAATTTTGTAACCTTTCAATGAACTGTCTATTCTAATCAAATAATTAAATAATTAAATCAAATAATAATTAAAAACCTAGAATAGTACAATAGAACTGAAGAAAGACTAGTTCTTCATCTTTAAGTGATGCTTCCATGATACTTGTAACTTTTAAATTCTTGCTTGGTTCTAATTTACAATTAAAACATTAAACTAATTGACACTCATATGGCATTGTTTCATTTACAAAGTGCTTTACACACACATTGTATGAGCTGAGGTTAATGATAACTCAGTGAGCTAGATAACACTACTTCCTCTTTTCCACCCCAATTTATAATAAAGTTGAGATTCAGATAAAAAAATTTTTAAATACTTAATTTATTAATTAGTTTATTACAGATGTCCCTCCTTTTTCCCCTTTTGACACCCTCCTCCCTGCTCCCCCCAGATAAAAACTTTGATTCACCCAGGCATGCATGGCAAAGTCTGACCTGACTTCAGTTTCAGCTCTGAACATAGCATACTTTTCCATCAAACACTTTCAGAGGGAAAATGGCAGAGGAAGGGGTGCAAAGGTCTCTCCCTCCATAAAAGCAGTGAGTCCAGCTGGTGTGGCTTGAATGTCATCCCATGGACTCAGAGGTCTGGGTTTGATTCCCGGGCAGGGCACATGCCTGGGTTGCGAGCTCAATCCCCAGTTGGGGGCGTGCAGGAGGCAACTGATGAATGTTTCTCTCTCACATCGATGTTTCTATCTTTGTCTCCCTTCCTCTCTCTAAAAAATTAATAAAAACAAATATATATACATATGTGTGTGTGTGTGTATATATATATATTAAAGCAATGAATAAACTGGCAAAAATGGTCAGTATCAACTTTTTAGAACTCTGGATGCTAACCCAAAGTTGCAACCAGGGAGTGCCTAAGTAAGAAAAACAGCTGAATCTTGGTAAGAACAGTAAGCTTTGCAGCTTTTTTACTGAAACCTTTCCCATCTCTGTTCCTTAACTCACTGATAACCTTGAAAACAACAGCCCACATTCCTGGTACAGATAGTAGAGGGAGCAAGAGACACCTCACTCACCAAGAATTCTAATGATTTGTTCTGACCAGTCTGGTGGCTCCTGGAAGACTAGCTTCAAAGGCTGCCTTCAGTCTGCCTAACTGAGCCCTTGATCAGTGCTAAAACAGTGTAATGCTGAAAAATCTGTAGGCAAATGTGTTAGTCACAGCTGCCTGGTGCGGTGGATACGAGTAGGGGAAAACAGGAGACTAACTAAAAACCTGTGGGGCAAGCCCAGAGAATGACATAGTTTGAGGAGTAAGGGCTCTGAAAAGTGCCAACATGTTTCAAAGAATCCAGAAGGCCCTGTGAATGTCCAGGGCTGTACACATATTCAGGAAAGACCTGAAAAGAAAACTCTCATTTCTAGGTGACATTCATTCAGGCTCTGTCCCGGCAGAACATGAAGGTTCAGGCAGAGTTATAAGGATCTCTCTCCTGCCTTCTTATTTAATGCTTTACTAGTTCCAGCCAGGGCAATTCAACAAGGAAAAGAAATAAAAGGCACCCGGATTTGAAAAGCAGAAGGAAAATTATCTCTCTTCACAGAAAACATGACCTTAAATATAGAAAATCTTACAGAATCTACACATACAAAACTAAACTTTTAGAACCAATTAATAAATTCAGCAAAATTGCAGGATATGTGTATATATACATATATATAAAATTCTGTTTTACATATATATATATATAAATAATTCCATGTACTTTCATACACTAACAACCATCCAGAAATGAATTAAGAAAACAATTTCATTTATAGTAATATAAAAAAAATAGTGTGTGATCAAGAAAGTGTAAGACTTATACACTGCAAACAAAACATTGAAAAAAATGATAGAAAACCTAAAAAATGGAAAGATAACTCATTTTTACGAAAAGGAAAACTTATTATTATTAGGATGGCAATACTTCCAAATTAATCTACATATTCAATTCAATCCCTATCAAAATTCCAAGTAACTCCCTGGCTGGTTTGGCTCAGCATTTAGAGTGTCAGCCTACGGACCAGAGAGTCCCGGGTTCGGTACAGAATTAAGATTGTAGAAATAGGTTTACACATCTACTATCAATTAATTTTTAACAAGAGTACCAAGACCATTCACTGGAGAAAAAAGAGTATTTTCAACAAATGGTGTGGTATAACTGGATAGCCACATGCAAAAGAATAAGCTTGTACCCCTACCTCATTTCAAATACTAAAAATAACTCAAAATGGAACAAAGATAAAAATATAAAAACTAAGACTATAAAATTCTTAGAAGAAAACATAGGGTAATATCTTCAAGATCTTGGATTTGGCAAAGGATTTTTAGATATGATAAAAGAAAATATGATCAACAAAATAAATAGATAAAATTGCACTTCATCATAATTAAAAACTTTTGTGAATCAAAGAACACAATTAAAAAATTGAAATGGAGAGTATTATGCTAATTGAAATAAGCCAATCAGAGAAAGACAAGTATTACATGATCTCACTTATTTGTGGACTATAATGAACAAATTAAGTTGATGTACAAGATAGGTCCAGACACATGGAAGCAGGGAAGACTGACAAACCTCAGAGGGAAGGGGTTAAGGGGAAGGAAGAGATAAACCAAAGAACTTATATACATATATGCACAACCAATAGACACAGATAACAGTGTAGTGAAGGCAGGGAGGGCTGGGAATGGGGAGAAGGGTGTCAGTGGGGGGTGGGGGGGTGATCCAGCCAAGCATTAACTACTATTAAAAAAAAAAAAGAAAAAGGAAACAACAACCCATAGAACAGAAAAAAATATTTTCAAATTATACATCAGATAAGGGACTTGTATCTAGAATATATGAGGAACATTTACAATATAATAAAAATGGCAATAACTTAAACAAAAATGAGAAAGGATCTGGTTAGACATTTCTCCAAGGAAGATGTACAAAATGCCAATAAGCACACGAAAAGATGCTCAACATCATTAGTCATCAGGGAAATACAAATCAAAACCACAGTGAGATACCACTTCTTATACACCAGGTGGCTAGAATAACAAAATTCCAATAATAATAAGTGTTGGTGAGGATAAGGAGAAATCTGAATCTTCATACACTGATGGTGCAAATGTAAAAGTGGGCAGCCACTTTGGAAAGCAGTGGTAATTCCTCAGATGATTCAACATAGAATTGCCATATAACCCAACATATTCCCAATGGAGTTGAAATATATATACACAAAAACTTGAATATGAATGTTTATAATAGCATTATTCATAGTAGCTAAAATGTGTAACCAACCTAAATGTCCATCCATGGATAAATAATATGTGGTATATCCATATAATGGAATATTTTTCAGCCATAAAAAGAAAGAAGTGCTGATGTATATATGTTTCATGAGTCACGAAAATATAATGGTAAGTAAAATAAGTCAACCACAAAAACCACATATTATTTGATTTTTTCATTCATTAAAAGTCCAGAATAGGAAACTCTATAGAGACAGAAAGGTTAGTTATTGTTTATGGCTAATTGGTGGAAACGGGGCAGGTGGGGTTAGGGGAATGCTAGACAAAGGGTATGTTTTTTCCCTGAGGTGATGAAATATTCTAGAATTGATTGTGTAACTGACTGCACATTCTGTGAATATATTAAAACCCACTGAACTGTACAGTTTAAATGGATGAATTGTATATGTGTATTATATCTCAATAGTTATTTTTTCAAAGGATATAAAAATAAAATAAAAAGGAAGAAATAAAGTTATAATACATGCTACAATATAATGAACCTTGAAAATATTTGCTAAGTGAAAGATGTCAGACACAAAATGCCATATACTGTATGGTTCATTTATATGAAATGTCTAAAATAGGTAAATTCAGAGACAAAAAGTCGATTAATGTTTTTTAGGGGCTGTGGGGAGGGGGCAATAAGGAGTGAGTGCTTAATTGGCATGGGGTCTCTTTTTGGGATGATGAAAATATTATGGAATTAGATAGTGGTGATAGTGGCATGACTGTGAAAATACTAAATCCAATGAATTGTACATTTTAAAATAATCATATGATGAATTTTCCATTATGTGAATTTATATAAATCTCTTGGCTCTGCTTGATCTGAAGTCATTTTGCCTAAAACCAATAAGGGAGTACAGCCATTCATCATGATTGTGAGGAATCAACTAGCATCACCGCCCTCACTGTCTTGGCACTTACCATTCCTTTACCTGGATGAGCTTTCCCTTCCCTTCTCCCCTCAAAATTCTCTCTGTCCTTCAACATGCCACTCAAATGCCACTTCCTCCATGAAACTGTTCACAGTTTCTCACATTGGAGCACATTTCCTTCTCCTCTGTGTTGCCCTAGTACATTGTGTGCACAGCTGATCCGGCACTCAGTGCATATTCACAGCTCTTGAGCACACATGTCTCCTATGTTAGGTGTAGATTTCTTTAAGGGCAAAGTGACTTTCATGTCTCTCTCCATCATCTTCAAGGTCAAATGTTATGCCCGACACTCATAATCATCCTCAAATTAAATTAAAGCAATAAAGAGAATTCATCTAAAACCTGTTTCCATTATGCACCTCCACACAAGCAACTGTGCTGATGCAACTACTCTTCAGAATGTAATGAATTCACAGCAGACAACTTGAGGATAAGGTATTCTTTCAGTAGTCAATCACTAAAGAATTTTCTTTTCTCTACTGATTAGACCTATTAAATACTGGAATCTTAAATCTAGTTCATAGGGACTAAAACATCGACTTTCAGCTTTTGTGAGAACCATTTTAGCCTCAAGTACTTGATAAAATAAAACAGTAAATAATCTTGATAGAGATATTTCGAAAACTTCAACTAAAATGCACAACAAAATAAAAAGACCACAGTGCTCTGCCATGGACAAAACTTCCACAATGTTTATAGTCATAAGACATTTTATGAGCATATAAAATTTCTGGTTCTAAGTTACAAGCTACTTTGTGCCTCACTTTGAGGAATAAAAAATTGGGTAATAACAATATTTGCATCTGTATTTATTATTACCTCTCGTTCTATGGTCTTCCTTCTTAGCAACTTTTTGACACTTGGGAGCTGCTTCTTTAACAACATGGTGGCTTCATTCATTCTTCTAACTTGATTGATTAAGAAAGATGGAACCTGGAGAAGAAAAATAACGGCTAGAAGGAAAACACTTGAATTAAACCTCACCAGTAGATTCTGTCTTTAGTTATGGTAACTCCTGGACACTCAGTATCCTAGAACTGTGGCATGGTCCTTGTAAAAATTAGAAAAACTATTAGGATTCATATTTAAAAGAGAGAACAATTCAGGAGCAGCCCTTAAGGAATGTATATAGATGGCACAGGCAACCTGGGGTAAGAGTCTCTTATTTCCTCCCTGTGACGAAGGGTACTGGTTGCTCTTGGAGCCGTTATGTTTCCTGGGTGCTGGTCTCCAAAGGAGCATCTTATAGTTTTCATGCTGTGACTCACCTTCCACAGGATTTCCTGGTAGTTAAGCATCAGGCAGATGATGTGGGCTGCAGTGTTGGCTAACCGTAATTCTTCATAATCAGAATGTTTGCTTCTACTGAAGAAAAGGTTTGGTGCCATCACAGTAGAAATGTTCCATATGCTCATTCGGTTTTTTGATTCATTGGCAACCACTTTATTGAAGAATGTCAAGAGGGCCTAAAAGGATACAGCATTGTGTCACACTACTATAAATTACCAAAAGGCACCAATGATTGCTGTCATTTATTTCTATGCCCATTTACTGGGCCTGGGGAAAATTGTCAGAATATTCTCAAAAGTACAGAATGGTTAAATGTCACGTACCTTTACTTGCTTAAAAGTGTTAATGAGAAATGTGAACAGTTTTTATGGAGTTTATTATATTGGAGTCTCTAAATAATAGCTTGCATTTTCTTTTGTCTTAAACAAGTTTGACATATATTAAAATTAAATAGTAAACTAGGAAAACACTTCATATAAAAAAACTCAAAACAAAACATGTAATACTGTTTTGTTGTGAAGAAAATTAATTCTAAAAAAATCCTTAATTTAAAGCATTACTATTAAAAGCTATTTTAACTTTTTTTTTTAAGAAAGGAAAATCCATTTTTAAAAAATGAGTAACTCATTCCTCGGCCCAAATGCAAACACAATTGAAAAAATTTTATATTTTACTTAGTGGGTATTATTTTTCTATTGCTTTTCAATTTTGGAATCTTCAGTAGACCAAAGGAAAATGCTTACATGTAACTGTTTTAAATATTTTGAGAAAGCTTAATAATAGTTTTGCTGAGCCACCAAAGTATAAATGCTTAACAGACCTTCTGAAATTCACCATGAGGACTGACATCCTAAAAGGAGATCCTCTTTAGTTTTCCAAGTTTGAATTCTGCTACAGAATTTGTGATGAGAAAATGGACAACACATAATAGTAATAATAGTTAACATTGTGAGCCAGGCATTATTCTTAGTACTTTATATATATCCACTGATTTTTATCATCATTCCAAATCTTATGTGGTAGGCACTATTATTAATATTGTTTTACAGATGAGGAAACTAAGGTGGCTAAGGATTGACAGCTTTGTCAAGCATCAGTTGATTAAAGGGCAAAGCCAGAATTTGCAATGAAGAAACCTGATTCTTGAACCAGAGCTCTTGATCTCCACACTACACCATCTTTAATCTGCGCTCCAGTCACAGTTTAGAATGTGTGTGTGTGTGTGGGGGGTGGGGGGTGGGGGTAATTCTTCACAAGTTCCATAATGTTTTTTGAGGCTCTTCTGTTACAAATGTACTGAATTTTTTGATAATTGCTACATCCTAAGTTATATGAAAAGGTAGATGACATTTTGATTCAGATACCTGATACCAGATGCATTTTTTTAAAAATAAAAGATCATTGTTTAGACAAAGCTAAAAACAAACTAATAAATTCCAGCTTTTGAAAATTAGCAAATTTTATTAGAGAAATATTGCTATGCCATAGCCAATCCCTATCCATGGGTTGCAGATATAATATAATTGACATATATTATAATTAACATAGATGTTTTCACTATGTAGGAGGAAAGGTCCTCACCAAATTGAAATGACTGATAAGAGGTAGTATTAAGAATTATATTAGTTTTTAGCATTATGTTGACCGGCTTCAAAAATTATTGGCTCTTTCTAATTCATCTATACCCCATTTCAAAGTTTCTCAACACCTATTGTACTTATAACAAATTTCCTATTGTATACACAATCACTATTAAACCAGCAAGAGAAAGTTTTATTTTTACCAACATACAACAAAGAAGTTAATTTGAAATAAAGGGAGAGATATTTAGTTTGAAAAACTATGGAAAAGGATTCTATCAAATGTTCTATTATATGTTAATGGAGAAATATGAGTTTAATTTTCCTAATCTGTAAAGTGACAAGATCCTATCAGGTAATCTCTAAAATTCAGAGATTGTAGAATTCTTTAAATTGAATTGAATTCATAAATTGTAAGGCATGAATATCTAAACAATTTATTTAAATCAGTCATTTCAAATTTCCTTGCCAAGGGCACTCATCAGATCTTTTGCCACTAGACTGATGTGGGCAGCTGACCAACAACTATAATTTTATTACATTTTATAATTTATATAATGTTCTCATTTACTTCTGACATTATTTCATTTAAGTCTTCCATCTTTGCTTTTCCTACTCCTAACCTAGCCCAGTGCCAGCATGTGGTAGACATTCAATGTCTCTTAATTGTTGGAATGAATGAAACTAAAATATTCAAAGAAGACTCCAGGATTTACATTCTTTCTTGTCTCAGGAGAACAGCGGTGGGAACATGGAAGGGAAACAGGTTCACTGCATGCTCAGCCAGCTTAGTAATTTTGTCATCTTTTCCACCTGAGCCATTTCCTCTCACCAGTAAGAGCCAATGACAAATAATGAGGTCAGTGCAACGTACCTGAGCTGTGTCCCTGTTGGCGTCAGGCAGTGCCATGACCATGAGGTGCAAGGCTTGAAACTGTACCTTGATGTGAGGCCCTCCTAACAAGAAAACAGAAATAACCACACATTTTGAACACCACTGATGTGTTCTGACAGCATTTCTTGCTAACATCTGGTAGCATAGGAGGGCTCCTGACAACTCTCGGTGGGAAGGACTCAGTTTTGTGCCTGACAATGTAAATTTGTTGGCTTGGACAGTCTGTCAACTCCCTTTCACATCCCATGATGCCACTGTACAGGCAGGTGGCCAAAAAGATCCTCAAAATAATTCTGGATTTGTATAACATTTCCCTTTTCAAAGTACTTTCACAGACCTTGCTTTACTTTTAGGCTATAAACAGAAGGCTTGAAGCTCAATTCAAGAGAAAATAAATCTTGTTTCCATATAAAGAAGCAGCAAAATATAATTATTAGGAACATAGTTTCTATAACCAGATTCAAATCCTACAGGTACTACTTAGTCACTGAGTGTGACCTTGGGTCGGCTATTGAACCTGTTGTTGCTTCTACAATATCATTTGCAAAATGGAAGTAGTCATTATACCAACCTCACTGGGCTGGTATAAACATTAAATAACTTAGAACTTAAAGTGGCTTAAAGGCATATGCATAAGACCTGGAACCATAAAACACCTAGAAGAAAGCATGGTAGTTAGGTCCTTGACATACGTCTTGGTGATGAACTTTTGAATCTGACACCAAAAGCAAAAGCAACAAAAAGAAAAATTAACAAGTAGATCCACATCGAACTGAAAAGCATCTGTACAGGAAAGAATACCATCAACAAAGTGAAAATGCAACCTGCTGAATGTGAGAGATCTTTGCAAATCATTATATCTAATAAGGGGCTAATATCCAAAACACATAAAGAACTCATATAACTCAATAGCAACTCCCCCCCAAACAATCTGATTTAAAAATGGGCAGAGGAACGGATATCGGAACTGATATTTTTCCAAAGACATACAGATGGCCAACAGGTACATGAAAAGATGCTCACTATCATTAATCATCAGGGAAATGCAAATCAAAACCACAATGAAATATTGCCTCACACTTGTTAGAATGGCTATTATTAAAAAGATAATAACAAGTGTTGACAGGGGTGTAGAGAAAAGAGAACCCCTGTGTACTGTTGTTGGAAATGTAAATTGGTACAGCCACTATGGAAACAGTATGGAGATGGCTCAAAAAATTAAAAATCTACCATATAATATAACCCAAATTCTGGGTATTTATCCTAAGAAAACAAAAACACTAATTTGAAAAGACAGATGTACCCCAGTGTTAACTGCAGCATTTTTTACAATAGTCAAGATATTGAAACAACTCTAAGTGTCCATTTATGGATGAATGGGAAAAAAATGTACACACACAAATATTATAACAAAATCAATAAAAGGTGCTTTTGTGTATCGTGGTTTATGGATGGAGTAGCCCCTTCAGCTTCAGAAATGTGGGCTTTATTTCATAACTAAGATTTCCTTTGTATATTGGACTGCCTCTAAAAACTCTTTTTTTCTTCTTCATGTGGGGGTATCTCAGGAACTTAGGAAAATCTCTTGTTTTCATATCGTGCCTGTCAGTGGTACGTGGGGCATGACGCCTGCATCCCACTCTCAGGGCTGAAGGCCCGAGTCCCTCAGCTGTCGGCTGTTCCTAGAAATTGCCCTCTCCAGTTGTTTTGCTGGGTCATGCTGTTTCTCCGGTGCAGTCTATGTCCAGGCATGGCCTGATCAGAATAAAAATGCCCAACTTTCTCACTGAAATGGGAAATAATTCTGAAAGGCCGCCCCAGCTTCAGAGCTCAACACAGGGTTGCATGAGGTGTTGGCTGAGTCTGCATCACTCCCCAGCTGTATCCTCTGCCCAATGCTGCTTTCTTTTCCTTCCACTGCATACGTGTGGAACCCGCGTGTACCCCTAAGAAATGTTCTACACAAACTAATCTCAGTCTTAGATGCTGCTTCTGGGGAACCCAACAAAGCTTCAGTCATGAACAACTTCTAAGGCATATTATCAGCAAATGATAACTTTAAACTTTAGGTAAGATAGCTTCTGTAAACAGAATGCCTGGCATTAAAAAAAAAGATTAATGAGTTAATATGTGGAGTGTTGACATCGGTGCCTGTAAGTAGTTACCTCTACGTGTGTTTGCTCATTATGATAAATGACTCACATTCTAGACCTTAAATGGACATTTAGGGAAGGCAACTGTAGCTGGATCTCTGGAGATTGTTCATAATTTGTTCCCTGACAATGACAGAAGATGGCGCCAGACGGTTGGCATTCATACTTGTTCTCAAGGCTGGCGCTCCCACGGCAACTGGGAATCCAGCACCAGCTGGGCTGAAAAAATGTGGACTTTACCAGGGCATCCAGGTTTTCCTTTGTCCTTCTGTATTCTCCTCAAAATGGTCTCTTCGTGAAGAGATCCTGGCAGGAAGTTCTAGAATCCCTAGGGAATTCTTAAGTTGAAGAAAAATCTATCTATTTATGTTCAGTGGATGAAAGGCAGTCAGCTGCTCTTTGAGTCGCTTAGCTTCACAATGCTGGGAACACTCCCGTGACAAGGCTTGTTCCGAGGTTGTCTGCTCCGCGCTTAGCAGTGGATGACTAATATAAATGACCACGGAACGAAGGAACAGTTGGAAGGAGTATTAATAGGACTGTATCATATTTTCTCAGCACAATCCCCATGTGGATTTCTAGAAATTTATGTCAAATTTGTAAACAAAAATGACACAGGTGCAAGATGTTTCTGAAAACAGCTAATGCATGTTGACATGAATTTGACTGAATAACAGGATCTATCAGGAGCGCATCTCAGTATGTACAAGTATTTAGAGATAGAGAAAGCATTATTTTAATGAGTATACTGCGGGCTAGGGGCTGTCTATACTCTTCCAATGTAATCCCAAGAAACCTCTGGTGAGGGTAGATAATAGATGCAGACGCAGACTCTGACCTTCCATCAGTTTCAGAGAAAATGTTCCTGTTAAGATTTAAAATTGAAACTGGCAAATAATCCATTTTCATTTAATTTAGGAAACCTACACTGTTTTGTGTTTAATAGTTTTGTACTTAATTCATTTATTGCATTCTAGTTAAGTCTTTTTTTCCTGAGGCCATTATTTCCATAGAAAGTTATTAAAGTTTTCACAAAAATATCTAAGATTTGTTTGATGAACTATTAGTCTTTAAATTTTATGAGCAATATTTGGACCAAGTTTGAAAAGAGAAAGTAATGATATGAGTGGAAATGACTCTATATTCTCCAGACCATGTTTCAGAGTATAAAGGAGGGCAGCTTAAATACACATGCCCACATGTCTACAGTTCTTCACTTCAGAAATCCTCATTACAACTAGAGCTTACTCTACCTGGCAAAAAGACTATTTTCCCTGCTGGCAGCAGCCCTGAACTTTGGGCTTCCTGTGGGGTTGGCTGGTTTCAAATCATTCACTGTAACGTAGTATTTTTCACTTTCAAAGTCATACAAAGAAATGTGGACTCCTCTGTGAACCTTTTCAGGGCACTTTCCAGATTCTCTCCCTTAAATGAAGCGTACTGGCTGCAGTTGGATGGGGAAACACAGAGCTGAGCAGCGGCTGCCTCATTGTTCAATGTGTGTCCTCTCAATCTGTCCAGGGACCTTTGCTGTCCATGTGGAATCACCATTTACTCAACAAGCTTGCACAGTAGGTCCTCGAATAACATCATCTCTTTCAACATTGTTTTGTTATTAATATTGATGCTGTTCTAGGAACTTAACTCTTGTTTGTGTCAATTAGCCTGTGGTAAAATTGGTTTCCTTATAATTGTTTCACTTAAAGCTGCAGAATCTATCAATGGCAAGTGAGGATTTACTGTACATATTTAGGTCTGTGATCTCTGAATCTCTCTGATTAGTCGTTAAATCCCACTACCTAGCTCCATTATACTTTTCTAAATTTCTCTCTTGTCACACGCTCCCTCCGAAATAGTCAACCCTTAAAGTGAAACCATGACAAATTATTCCCTTATAATTTTTCAAGGACTATTGCCCACCAGGCACTATTCTAGATGTTCATTCAATAGCTACAACAATTCTGACACACAACTATCAAGTGAAAAGTATGGGTACAGTGAGAAAGCTCAGAAAATTCACTGCATGGCTAGCAGATGGTTGCGCAGGAATTTAAATCCTAAGCGTCTATTCTTTCTACAAACCCCTCTGCCTTTTAATGATTATAAAACCCTCTCAATCATATCTATCATACTTAGGTATATAAATATGTAAAGAGATAACTGTTTACCTTCACACACAATGTTTCACCAACCATTGCCAGGCAAGAGCAAATATACACTTCTAATCACATTTTATTATGCATCTTTCTTCTACTCTGAGTCACTTTATTAATCTTATATCTTAGTCCATTCACACTTAACATCTTCCACCTACTTTCCATTAAAGTGATGAAGGCAGGTATGTATTCCACAGGGAAGAGAGAAGTGGGTAGTTCTCTGAAAAAGGCTTTCAACATCACTGCAGCTTCTCTATGGCACATTTTGTCCCATTTAAATTTGTCAGTATTAAACTTGGCATCTAGTTCTTCACGGTATTGCTGAAAATAAAGGAAAACAGTCAATATTTAATGAGCTTTTACCACCTGACTGCCCCCTCCAAAAACTGTCACTATACAAACTTTTAAAAAACCTAACTTAAAAAAAAATATTAAGGAATTGAAATAGTTATTTCTGAGTTAAGTTTTAAAAGTGGTTTTCCAGACTCTTTTTAGAACAATGTTAATCTTGAAATCATTTGCTAATTCTACACAAATGTAAGAATTCTTTACTCGGGCCGTAGTTTTATGTGGTTTTGGCAGAATGCCACCTGTCCCCACATGATAATGCACTGTTAGATTTTGACATTTCTGTTATTCATGATCCCTTCCTTTTTCCATCCTGGTCATCTAGAATTTCTAAATTAGATCATGAATGCATACCTCTCAGCTAGTTCACATTCAGAATAAACTCTGATCTCATTGCAACATGCAAGCCAATGACATCTTCCTGGAGTGGTTATGGTAAAGTTTTAAGCCAAGACATACACATGTCTTCCACATGTTTGCATGCTTGTCCAATCCTTCACAAAATTTGGAACACTATGTAAATACGTAAAAAAAAAAAAAAAAAAAGGCACTGAGCCTCCACACATTCTACTTAGGTTGTACATTTCACATTATCAATGCATTTGATTATTAGTGCCACCTATACGTCATGTTTCTTTTCCAAAATCAAACTCACTTTCTACTGCTCCCTTGAACTACAGATTTTACCATTATTAGCATATAGGTAAGTCAGTTCCCTGATTGACTCTAACTGCTCCAAAAAGGATAATTAGAAAGACAACTTTGACAACTCTCAATTTCTTTAAGGCCCCTGCTTTATTCCTATGAGAAGCCTAATTCTTCCAGCCTTAAATATGCAAAGCCAGAGTAAGTTTTTACATCTGACTTTTCCTCCCAAGGATCAGCACATTTAACCATCTGAGAAATAAAGCTCTCATGGCTCCCAGAGCCTGCAAAACAGGGGTGCCCTGCAGGACACATCTTTTTTTTTTTTTTTAAATCCTCACCCAAGGACATTTCTCCATTGATTTTTCAGATAGAGTGGGAGGGAGCATGGGAGGGAGAGAGAGACAGAGAGAGAAACATTGATGTGAGAGAGACACCTCAATTGGTTGCCTTCCACACAATCTCAACCAGGGCCAGAAATCAAACCACAACCAAGGTACCTGCAACTCCTTGGTCCATGGACCAATGCTCTAACCAGTGCACCAAACTGGCCGGAGGAGAACACATCTTTTATAGAGAGACAGATAGGATTTCAAGGCACCCTTTGATTACATCAAAAGTTTTTTCTTCTTATCCTTGAGAAGCTCTCAACATACAGCAAAATCAATCAACCCTTTGCTGATAAATACACTTGGTAAAGAATTGAAGCATACATATAAAACTCTTCCTAGAAGAATAGAGAACATAGATTGAGATCTAGAAAATGAGGATGCACAAGATACATTCTATGCCTTTAGGCATCTTGTAGTCCAATGGATACAACTATTTCATATACTATAATGCTACTTGAAGGTGTTAAATACTATGAGAAAGGACATGCATTGAATTCTATGCAGTCATGAAAGAGACTTGAACTGCATTAGGGCAAAGTATTGAAAGTGAATGAGGAGCTTGCCAGAGGAAGAAGAAATAAAAGGGTGTTCTGGACAGAAGAAACTGCTTAAGCAGTGATACAAATGCAAGAAGGCCCAGTGGGTCTGGGGAACTCCAATTAGATCAGTGTTGCTGGTCCATTATAGGCAATGAAGGGGAAAAAAAGAAAGATGAGACTGAGGAACAGACCAGAGGTTACTGGACTTCATTCTATAGGCAATGAGGCAACACAGAATATTTTCAAGCAAGGGAAGGACATGGTGACATTTATCTTTTCTTACAGCCAGATGCAAAAGTGATTTGGGGGACTGTGGTGCTTGGCACTGATTTAAGAGCAGGCTAGAAGGAAGGAAATCAGTTATTGGGCCATGGCAACATTTTTAGTGATGGATAATCAAAGACTTACCTGGACAAGTAGTTGTAATAGAAAGGAAGAATTAAGAAATGCATTGAGGGAAAATCTAAAAAATCAGTGAAGACTATGGAGCTGCTCTTAAGGAACATGGGCTAATAACACCATCTTGGCACTCTCCATTGGCCTTGTTTCAGCTCACCAGTATCTTGCAGAAAAAAATTTATATTCTCATCTAGAGCCTGAGTTATTGCAACTGTTAACAAGCGAACACTGCCAGATCACCTAGCTAACAGGGTTTAAGCTTGCACTCCAAAGGATATATATGTACATTTTTAAAAGCTGCTGCCTGAGGGTCTGGCTTCCAAACAACTGAATCTAGGTGCTGAGATCCTGCCCTTAGGAACACTGATAGGTCCTCAATAACTGGAAGCTGGTAAAAACATAATAAGCTTCTTGGATAAGCACAAAGATTTGAGAGATGACAAAGAGCTGGGGCAAGATTGAATGATGTGGTTCATCACCTGCACAAGGCCATTCCTTCAAGATTGGAAGAAGTGGTTGTTTCATCTACTTTTTAGAAACCAGAACAGACAGACAAGCAAAATGAAGAAACAAAAGAATATATTCCAATAAAAGAAGATAAAACCTCAGGAAAAACTATTAACAACACAGAGATAAAGAGTTCAAAGTAATGGTCATAAATATGCCCACCAATCTGGGGAGGAGAATGAATGAACACAGTGAGAAATTGAGCAAAGAGATGGAAAATATAAGAAAGTGCCAAATAGAAGTTACAGAGCTGAAGAATACAATAATTGAACTAAAATATACACTAGAGGGGTTCAACAACAAATGAGCTGAAGCAGATGAAAGGATCAGTCAAACCAAAGACTTCACCTAATCAGTGCATCAAAAGAAAAAAGTAAAGATAGCTTGGGGCTTATATGACAACATGAAACAAGTAACATATGCATTGCAGAGGTCCCAGAAGGAGAAAAGAGAGAAGGGGGAGAAATCTTGTTTAAAGAACAATGTCTGAAGCTATCCCTAACTGGTGAAGGAAACAGACATTCAGATGCAGAAAACCCAGAGTGTTCTAAATATGATAAATCCAGAGACCCAAACCAAGACACATTATAATTAAAATGCCAAAAGTTAAAAACAAGGAAAGAATATTAAAAGCTGCAAGAGAAAACCTGTTGCATACAAGGGAATCCCAACGACACTTGCAGCAGATATTTCAGCATAAACTTTGCAGGCCAGAAAAGAGTGGCATGATATATTTATTCAATGTGCTGAGAAGAAAGCTACCAACTAAGAATTCTCTAACCAGTAAAGTTTTCATTCAGAATTGAAGGAGAGGTAGAGTTTTCCAGACAAGCAAAAGCTGAAAGAGCTTATCACCACTAAATGGGCTTTATAATAAATGTTAAAGGAATTTCTTTAAGCTGAAAAGAAGCACTAATTAGAAACAAAACATATGAAATAATAAATCTCACTGGAAAGGTAAACATATAATAAAGGTAACAGATCAATCACTTATAAAGCTAGTGTGAAGGTTAAAAAATAGTAAAAATAACTATGATTGCAATACACAAGATAAAAATGTAAAATGTGACATCAAAAACATAAAACATGGAAGGGGAAGAAGAAAATTATTGAGCGTTAGAATGGAATCAAACTTAAGTTGTTGTCAACTTAAAATAAACTGTTATAGAGATAAGTTGTTATATCTAAGTGTCATGGTAACCACAAAGCAAAAACCTACAGTAAATAAAATTTAAAAAAAGACAGAGAAAGGAATACAAGTACACCACTAAAGAAATCATCAAAGCACAAAGAAAGAGAATAAGAGAAGAGAGAAGCTACAAAACACCCAGTAAACAATAAAATGGCAATAAGTATATACCTATTAATAATTACCTTAAAATTAAGATACCTAGGAATAAACTTAACTAAAGAAGTAAAGAACTTTTCACAGAAAACTATAGGTCATTAAAAAGAGAAATAAAGAAAAGATATAAAAAATTGGAAGCATATACATTGTTCATGAATTAGAAGAATTAACATCATTAAAATGTCCATACTACACAAAGCAATCTATAGATTCAATGCACTCCCCATCAAAATACCAACGACATACTTCACAGAACTAAAACACTCCAAAAGTTCATATGGAACTAAAAAAAGACCCTGAATAGCCACAGCAATCTTGAAAAAGAAGAACAAAGTAGGAGGGATCACATTCCCAGATTTCAGGTTATACTACAAACCCACTGTAATCAAAACAGCCTGGTACTGGCACAAGAACAGGCAGATAGATCAATGGAAGAGAAAAGAGAACCCAGAAATTGACCCACAACAATATGCTCAATTAATATTTGACAAAGGTGGCAAGAGCATATAGTGGAGTCAAGAAAATCTCTTCAATAAATGGTGTTGACAAAATTGGACAGCTACCTGCAAAAAAATGAAGCTAGAACACCAACTTACACCATAAACAGAATAAATTCAAAATGGATAAAAGACTTAATGTAACGTGTGAATTCGTAAAAATTCTAGAAGAAAATGTAGGCAATAAAATCTCAAACATCATATACAGCAGAATTTTCACTGATATGACACCTAAGGCAACAGAAACAAAGGAAAAATGAACACATGGGACTAAATCAACTCAAAAACTTCTGCACAGCAAAAGAAACAACCATCAAAATGGAAAGGGATCCCATTATATGGGATACCATAATCGCCAATGATGCATCAGATAAGGGGTTACTTTCCAAAATATATAGATTACTAATATAACTCAACAAAAGGAAGACAAAGAAAGCAATTAAAAAATGGGCAGAGGACCTAAATAGACATCTCTCCAAAAAGAACATACAAATGGCCAAGAGACATATGAAGAAATGCTCAACATCACTAATCATCAGAGAGATGCAAATTAAAACAACAATGAGGTATCACCTCACACCTGTCAGAATGGCTGCCATCAACAAATCATCAAACAAGTGTTGGCGAGGGTGTGGAGAAAAGGGGA